AAAAATACATTAAAGAGTTAAACTTGCGAAAATGTCAGGAAAAATGTTAAATAAAATAAAAGTCAGAATATGTATTGGTATATAATTTTAACAGTAAAAAAAACTTGTTAGAATTTGACCAGAATAAAATTGTGTTATTTTTTTTTTAAATTACTATTGCATTTATACATGGAATGTGTCTTTATTAAAATATCTGAAATTTTAAAATTTCTATTTTCTTTTCCAATGCCATTAAAACATGCATGTCTCAAACTAAAACACATTCCCAATAGAAAATAAATTGCCCGCTCTTGCCTCACAATTGTTGTTGTTGTCAACGACAAATATCGGAAATTTTCAGATGGTTGTTCTCTCTTTGATCAATGCGTGAAAAAACATTTAAATTGATATGGACATATGTATAACATATTTAAATACTAAAATGTTGACGATTACAAAACAAATAATTCAATTCAAAACAAGGAGATAACGCCAAAGTTCCATTCCATGACACAGATGATAATTCTATTGATTTTTAAAATTAAGCTAAGAAGATAACTAATCAATTGATAATAAGTTGTAGAAAAAGAAAAAGAACTAACCTGAGCAATGTCACCTATCGTCACAAGAACCGAGTCAACTCGGGGCGACACGGAAACCCAACCAGACTCGGTTAACAAACAGTACTTCAGTTCCCTTATCTGATATTGTAAACATACAACAAATGGATAAAACCCGTTGGTTATCTCCGGTTTATCATCGGGAGTATCTTGGTTAAGCCACATCAGAGTATTAAACCGGGTTGAGTCATTTTCAAATGGGTTCTTGAACCCAAGTGCGTTCGCCAACATCTCTACCGTCTTCACTCCAACTTTCTCGAGACTCCGAGTGAACTCACGCAGCGAACTCAGTTTTAACTCGCTCGACTCGGTTGAACAGTCGGCGTCAAGGCAAAACGACGGCATTTCGGCATCGGATTCGTAGCCAAGCGGCCAGTTTTTGGGAAACGATGATTCCTTTTTCTTTTCATTGAGCTCTAAAAGCGAGAGCGAGTCAGACTCGGCGGCTTTAGCGAGTCCAGAAGGAATAATGGTATTTGAGTCATCATCGTTAGTGAGTTGGAAATAGCCGAACTTAGTTGCGGCGGAGATTAGATCTTCATAGCTTTCGGCAGCGAGAGATACCGTCGGAAGAGATGCGGCGGTGGAGGATACGGCGAAGGAGCGGCGGTTGGGGAGTGAGAGGTTAGGAGGGAGACGGTGGAAGAGTCGGGAGAGAGCGTCGGCTGCTGTCTCCGATTTGGTGGTGGTGGTGTTTGGATGTGTGCATGACGGAGTTGGTGGAGGCGCCGTCGTGGCTCCACCGTGGTTGGTCGGAAGTTGGTGGTGGTTGAGGTGAGCAGAAGAAGAAGCCATTAAAGATGGATGTGTCTTTGTTGTAAGAGAGGCGATGATAATGCAAAGTGACTACTAGAGAAGTATTTGTGAAAACATATATGTAGAACTTTGCGTATACGCATGGAATAAATAAGGCTTTACTCACACGTGTGGGATTATGTTTGGGACCCTAATTTTCTAGATTGATTAAAATCTTAAAAGAAAATGTGGAATAAAATAAGATTTTTACAGTAGTAAGGAAAAGGAATACTTTTGTATATGTTACTACTACTAATTTTGTAGAATCGTTAAATGAATGAATGAAATACTGAGTTTATGAAAAAAAGTATGATCGATAAATTATTTGTTATTTAGCAAATTGACCCTAAATTATTGCAAAAAATTATTATTCGTTGAAGAGAAAATATGTTACAAAAGACAATATACTATTCCTTAAATAATAAAAAAATATTGTTTTGACATGTTCATCTGTTTCCGTTAATTTCTATCTAACATTTTACATGTACTAAACCAAACACACAAAATACACGTCACGTATACATGTGTATTCATTGGAACCATAAACACACATAACATGGAAATTTAGCTGTATACATAGATGCTTGTTAAAAAGGTGTCCAGCCTGCCAAATACTAAAACAAGACAAATTATAATTGGACATTACCAATTTGGTAGTGCAACATTATTTTCCACTTATGTTTAAACAAGTCCAATTTTACAGAAAAGTAATTGCAACAACAATTATATAATTAGAAAATATCAGATTTGCTTGGATGTAAATTAAAAACTCAATGACAACGACTGTGCAACTCAACTAATTTGTGTAGCGGATAATAAAAATGAATTTATCTAATAAAAATATAAAACTAATCAAATAACAAGACAAGCTCGGGTTTATGGAATGATTGTGATATAGTTATATGCATGCGCATTTATATAAAGAACACCTCACAAAGTTTTAGTTGGTTGTCCAAAATATTCCCAACTTTTTAATATATTATTCCCAAATGTCCCTTGCTTTGTGGGAGTTGTATGTTTGTCTCTGGTACAGTGGTACTAATCCAGACTAGCTGCGTAATTAGGATTTCTTCCCTTTTCTCAGACTTATTTCCTTCTTTTAAGATTCTTTTACTTTTAATTTATGTATTTAAAAATCCACTTAGTTTGTTATATACTGGGATCTTACAATTAATTTTAAATTTACAAAATATTGGTGTACACATATCGAGTTTGAATTCTATGAATTATAACCATGTTTGGAAAAATGCCATAAAAGAAAAGCATGTTTGAAAAATATTAATTTCTATTTGGTATATTGGTTTTCACATCATGAAAATGATTTCCGAAGAGAAGCTTATACAAAGAAATATGATTAGGTAATCTTTTGTCTTCTAGATTTGGTGGAGAAAATTAGCTATTAGCTTATTGATAACCATACGTTTTTGGTAACCATAATTCGATCTTTAACCAATTTCGATGTAAGAAATCATGCATGCACACATATATACATACCAGGGTCCACCGATTTTATGGGCTTTGTGCCAAAAAAGTTTTAAGACATTTTTTTATAAAATTGACAGAAATTCAGGATTTTGTTAGCAATTTTTGAGAAATTTAAGATCCTTTGCAAATTTTTTTTTACCAGAATTGTAATGTCTATGGGCTGGGCTCTGTGCAAAAACAATCTTTGCACAGCTCATGGGCCGGGCTTAATATATACATACACACTTCTTTAGCGTCACAAAAAACTTAAGTAATAAGTACTTAACCACTCTTATTTTAGTTTCATATTGAAAAAAATCATCGAATTCACTATCACATCTCTCGTTCTGCAGATAACCGACTACAACTTCTTGACTAAAGAATTATAAATTCTTAGCAAAAAAAAAGAATTAGAAATCGTGTTTATTCCATCCGTGACTGGAACTCTAACCTAGCTTCATAAATCTTGCAACTTTAATTAGTTCTCTTCTCATCAACTTATATATGTTCAATTTGTTTTTCATCTTATACTTTCAGTTTCAAGCAATGATTCTCACAACTGACCCGCTCTAAACCTCTCTCGGATTTGAGTTTGCTTCATCATCGGACCTTTCACCTACCTAACCTAAGGTCGAGAGCATCTTCTAATCGTGCATGTTAATGGGTTAGTTGGTTCATCAACACCACCATAAGTGCTCACTCTTTGGTTCATCTAAGTTTTTTTAATCATTTCACTATGATTTAGATTTAAGTTGGGCTTTTGCTTCAACAAACTATAGCTTTGGGTTGGGCTTAGCTTGTAAAAAAATTTACAAACCCAAATGAATGAAAACATTGTGAAAAAAAAAAAAAAGTTTTTTGTGTTGATAAAGGATTTTCAATCAAATGCATGAGATACAAACAAAATCCAAATTCCTCTTGGTTCAATTTATGAACACATCCCTTTAGAGCATCGTTAACAATGATACAACGTGGGTATCATTAAATATAAAATTATTAAAATTTGAGTAAAAAGAAGAAAGAGAGTGTTTTTMYTTGAAATAATGGGYTGTATTGYAATATAAAATWAATAAAATTTGAGTAAAGAGAAGAGATAGTGAGTATTTTTGGAGAGAGATAGTATCAAAAATATCAAATAGTTGATACTTTTGAAGAGAGAAAGAGTGTATTTTTAATAATTTTATATTTAAAGAGAATATAAAATTAATAAAAGTTGAGTAAAATGATGAAAGAGAATATATAAAGTTAAGTAAAAGGAAGAGAGTGTGTTTTTAATAATTTTATATTTAATGATACCCACATTGTATCATGGATAATGATGGTCTTAGGTACCCAATCTCCATCAAAATAAAGCAGAAATCGAGTATGAAAACATTGAAACGTGATTGACTCAATTTCTCAAACTCCTATCTACTTTTCGTCTAACAATGTTTAGAGTCATTAAAACAATGTGCATCTATACAAAATATAACGAATCTTTTCTTTATTTGTAAACAAAAAGCTAAGGTCATGAAAAACACATGCCTCCTCATTGATATTTTTGTTTTGTTTTATAAAAAAAATATTTTGCTACAGTTCTATCTTTAAATGTGAGGAATAATTTACTGAAATATTTCGACC